ATGGTGATTTTATCATGCTCTACGAAGTTTTGATGCGTTGCTGATGCCTTCTCCTACCTACCTACCTGTTCCCGAGTACGAGATTCTTCAGTTCGCAAAATTTGGAGCTCCGGGTGAGAACAAGGCATATGACGTGCAATGATGATGCTGAAGTGGGTGTTTGTGCTAGATTGGGTGCAATGATGCACAGCAGCTCTGGACCCACCAACACCGGCACTGTTGACAATGAGCTCGTGGATATCATTCACAGACCAAAAAGCTGTTCAGTGCGTCTTACCTTCAAAAAAGCAGGTGAAGGGAATGGCACTCCTCTCGAGGCTCCCACGAGGCTAATACAGCCAACTGAAGCCTCTTTAGACCATCCTTTTAGAAACACGGTTAAACGCACCATATGTATGTATATGTATATGTAATAGCTCATGATCTAAACTTTTGCGTTTACACACCAAACCCCACTTCCGCTTACTATGGCTTGTCTACTTTTATTTCTGTGCTGTTAGATTTAGGACATTCCTCTTTTGTGCATGGTATGGCGCCGGCTACTTGAATACTCACCCGGGTGATTTTGGGACCCTTACACAATTCTGTTTCCCTTCTGATTTGTGATTAGCACCTGTGAAGCAATGGGCTGTGACGAGTTATTTTTCATCCCTTGCTCCCATTGTGAGAAGTTCTTTGTTACAAGCATTTCGTGATAGAGTATCACATTTGGTCATTCAAGTGGCAGAAGTTATCCTACTGTGATCCTAGAGTGAATGGGCATGCGAGTAAAACTGAAGTATTACTTTATGTGAGTAAATATCAGCAAAAGCATGAAACGGTCATAAAACATGATAAAACCACAATGAGAGCATTTTCTAGTCCCTAAGGGAAAAATTCTCTATAATGCGAAAATTCCGTCCTCCACGAAACCCAAACCCTAGTCTCCCGCACATGAAGCGTCACGCTTACCACCACACCAAGCCGCCGTTGAGAAGAAAAGCGCATCCATGTAATTTAAGTTTTCTTATGATAAGCTCCCTGAAACCACCCTCATAACTCCGTTCACAGAAACGCTCGGCAAATTTGGAAAGCAGATTTGAACTCAGAATCCAAAAACACGTCCAGCAGTGTAGGTCTCATTTCAAATGGCCACTTCGACTTGGGATCCTTCCCTGGTAAGATAGGATGGGAACGTTTATAAAGTTTGGCAGGATTGAGCTCCGCCCACAATGGGCGGGGTTTGGGCAAAAATTCATAACTCCTGTCCCTGTGGACCTAAAGCGCTCAAACTTGGTAGGAGTACCCAAGATAGGAGAGGAACGCTTATAATGGGTGGCAGGATTGAGTTCCGCCCACAAGGGGCGGAGTTTGTGTGAAAAACCTAAACATGGACCTAGAGCGTTCAAATTCGGTAGGAGAACAGGCGGCATGATGAGAACATTCATGGTGGGTGGCAGGACCGGACTCCGCCTACAGTGGGCGGGGTTTGGGTGAAAATTCATAACCCCTGACCCCGTGGACCTAGAGCGTTAAAATTTGGTAGGTACAGGCGGCAGGATGGGAACACTTATGGTGAGTGGCAAGACCGGACTCTGCCCACAAGGGGTGGGGTTTGAGCGGAAAATCATTACTCCCTCAGGGGAGCGAGACTTGCAGAGAAATGTCAAAATGGACCTAGAGCGACCAAACTCGGTAGGAATACAAGAGGCAGGATATGAACATTGATGGTAGGTTGCAAGACTACATTCCGCCCCAACGGGCTGGGCGCGAATAAATACTGTTAGTTCAGACCTAGACCGAAGTCATAGGGAGTTGGCTGGGAACATTAATCAACGTTGGTAGCTAACATAGTAGACTCAGCCGCGAAGAAGTCTCCGAATACTTTTTTTTTTCTTTGAATAAGCGCCTTTGTGATATTATACGATGTTCCATTCGGACACAGCGAAGATGGCTTACAGAAAAAATCGCTCTTAATTCTAAGCTAATACTGAGCGTGTAGAGCTTTCAAAGAAAAAGGAGAATCCGAAGTGTTATGTACGCATAGCAAATTTCTCACAAGAACGAGGAGCGCCCGGCGTAGCTGGGCGAACCCGTAAGAAGGAGGGAAGCCCGGCGTTAGCCGGGTGGCCTAATTCATCAAATCAACGGCCTAAGGCTTTGAAGCAATCGTCTTCTTAAGAGGCAAAGTTTCCACCGCTATTGATGAATTTTCAGACCAAACTCACTCAGCGAATCACATCGATGTCATTTTTTTACCACGAGTTTCTTTTCACATCATAACCACTTTCAGCTGTCAAATGAGCTTAACTACCAAAGGGAACTGGTATCGTTATGGAAAAAATGGTCTTGGAACGTGATTATAACATCTTGCCGTTCTTCATTTCAAGTTCCTTTCCGTGTTTACTGACAATCTTCTTTGAAGATTATTTATACAGAACATTATAGCGTCGTATCTCAAAACCTCTTCTATGCCCAAAAGGTTAGGAACTAATTCACAACATCCTTTGCTTTGCCTCTGAAATCATCGAAAGCTGCGATTTTCGGGTTTGCTCCAAGGAATTTTGAGCAGAGGCAAAATGTGCCACTACGAAATGTGCTGATTGCATTTGGAGGAAGTGCTTCGAAACAGAGAACAACTACTAGTCAAGTTTATGGCTGGTGATGCAAAATTCCAGCATAATGCACGGGATGGGGAGCAAGAGAAAGCAAGGGAAAATTTTTCGAGGGAAATAGTAATGAACACTACTCCAGAAACTGTAAGAAAGCTACGACTCATCAAAAATGGTGGATGGATCTGCATGCAACGGGAAGGAAGAACAAGTGTTGCCAGTGATTTCTCAACAAAATAGCATCTCGGTACATGACATTACAATGACATCTGCCTGCAGTTTATCACATCATGGAAGAGCATTTTCTGGATGTTCACCTGTATCACCTGTTGTCCCGTTGATCATCGACTTCCTCGAGTAACGTCTCCTTTCGTTCCTGTCACAAGCCAGAGTGGTACAGTGAATCGTCCTGAATTCAGAGACACGAGGTCCAATATTCCTTTCCTTCAGAGCTTTCGTGAAGTAGTCTAATCATCCTGTTGGCGGCCGTCGTGGAGTTCGTTTGACGCCCCGAGGATCCAATCAGTTACCTCCTGCTCAAATAGTCAACATAAAATCTTATTATAATACATGCCCGACCCACCTGATCTTCGACTTCTTGGCGTAATCAACGGCATCCCTGATCTTCGTTCGAGGACGGAGCTCGGATCTCCGGATTTCTCTGCACTTGCGTAAATAGGGAAATTCCGAGCATCGTCTTCTCCAAAGTGCGTTGAGTACGTTGACAGCATGTTCATCCTGCTTTCGTACAGCCAAGTCTCCGAGACGTACATCAAAACAGGAAGGAGAGCAGAGTCGAAAAGGTGATCGTCAGCCAGATGTTCTTTGTCTTCTTCACTACTCCCTCAATACTCTTGAAAGCTCCCCACGCGGCGCATTTCCTTCTGCACAGCTCCAGAGCGGGGTCGTTCATCATGTTGACTTCCCGACCTGAATACACATAGCTAGAGCACTCGGAGATATTCTTTCCGTTGAACATGAAAAGAGCATCAGGTACCGGTCCGTTTTTCATGAAAATCGTCTTCGCTGAGTTCAGCCTCAAGCCGATCCTTCCACAAGCACTGTCAAACGCGGCCAGCATTCGTTCCGCCTCTTCGGTGTTCGGTGTTATAAGCACGATGGCGTCTGCAAAGCAGAGGTGATGTAGGAAGCGGCCGTCGACCTTCACTCCCAAGTCTTTCCATTATAAGACGCATGATATTCTCGAGAACGGTACTGAAAAGTTTGGGCGAAATGTGTCGCCTTGCCGGACACCTCTCTTCACGTTGATGATGACTTCCCGTAGAATGGTGAAATCCTGGTCGTGAAGTTGTCGTAGAGCTCACCAAGTATCCTTTACGTGAGTTGCCTTTTATATTTCGGGATTAGAGAACAAAAATAAACATTAAAAATCGCTTTACTGCCTTTTAAAATTTTCACACTTGCAATAATCTATACATTTTCGCATGCGTTTGAACCAATTGTTCAAGCACTTTTGCCATTCTGATTGAGGTATCTCTAAAACATGCGTTCTAAACGCATTAATCGCTTTTTCAGGTGTCGAAAAACGTTGACCTTTCATTGTTTTACGTACAGGAATAAAAAGAAGTCATTCGGAGCCAACGCCAGGGTTATATGGCGAATTACACTTATGCTAGTAATCTAAGGTTGTCATAATCTCACGATAGGTCACATGATGATCTTGCAGTATTAGTTTGCGCACAACACGGGAACTACCACTGAATTTGGCCGACCGTTTTGGAGTGAACTACGGCCCACGTCAAAAATTGCAAAAAAACAATCGCACGAAAATGTTCCGAGTTTTGGTCTAAATAAATCTTTGAAGTTAGGTTTTTCTAGGCACGCAAAACCTCAAAAAGGTCAAAGTTTACGTCAAGCTGTCAGTTGCCAAAGCAACACTAGGGTTGCCCAATTCCGAAATATAAAAGGCAACCCTCGTATATTGAGTAGGAACGCCCTGGTTGGACAGGGCTTCGATTACCGCTGCTGTCTCGACAGTGTCGAAGGCTTTCTTAAAATCGATGAACGTAAGACATAACGGCATTTTGAACTCGCGATAGTTCAATGAGTCTTGTAAGAGTAAGGATATGATCGATTGTATTGATCCGAAACCCTGCTTGCTCGCATGGCTGTCCTTCGTCTAATATTCTGCCAATCCTGTTCAGGATGACTCGAGTGAAAAGCTTGTAGATTACAGACAGCAGGCAGATTGGGGAGTAATTGCCAATATCGTCTGGATCTCCTTTTCTGTTATGTCCTCGTCGTGTTGAGTGGAAGCTTTAATCGAAGGCATGAGACGAGACAAAAGTGAATGCGACCATACTCATGATAGCTTATATAGGCAATGTGTTCATGTGATCATGATGTACTATCACTCTTACAATAAACACAAATATACTGTAGTTCGTTTTAAGAGGAAGATATAGTGCATTCGGCCTGCTCCAACACCTCCCCCCTAAGATTGACGTCCGCGGTACGACTTGGCGTACGGGTCAATCTGGAGGAAATCGGGAGGACGTCGAATGCGGATAGATCGACGATATCTGGAGGTAGGCGACGCCGGCTGTGGTGATCTTGCTGTAACCGTTGTCGTTGGAGCAGCAGCGGTACTGAAGTCGGTGATGTCACGGTAGGTGTATCCAGTGACAGTTCCAATGGCATATCCAATGCGTTGCTCAGTTCAGGTACTGCTTCCGGCGAAACACGTGGGATTAGTTGATTCATGTGCCGTTTCCATACGGCTCCTTGAACAGACACATCGTAGAGAGCGCGGCCATGGCGGCGTATAATGCGTCCTGGAATCCATGTGTGTTGATTGGAACGGGAGTCTTGTGCATAGACTAGATCATTTGGCTCGAACCTTCTAGGTTTAGCTCCGTGTCGGCGGTTGAACTGAGCTCCCATTTGGTAGTTTCTCAAAGTTTCTGCAGGTTCACTGGGTTTCAACAGATCTAGTGCGTTACGTAGGCGTCTTCCGAGGAAGTTGTTTGCAGGACACCGTCCGCTAGGGGATGCGGTGCAGGGTGTGTTTCTGTAGATGAACAGAAAGGTATGGAGGGCATCAAGGTTTGGACCGTGATCCTTCATCTTCAGAATTGATCGCTTGAAGGTGTCCACGAATCGTTCGACTTGCCCATTGGATTGGGGATGGAACGGGGGTGATCGGACGTGTTCGATTCCTGTGACGGCAGAAATTCTGGAACTCGGCCGAAGTGAATTGAGTTCCATTATCGGAAACAATGACGTGAGGGAATCCGAACTGAGCGAAGAGGCGGTTGAGCTCTCTCAGGGTTGCGGTAGTGGTCGTGGATGTCACTGGAATGGCTTCGGGTCATTTGGAGAAGGCGTTGACGATTACGAGGTAAGAGATTCTTCATGTGGACCGGCAAAGTCTATGTGAATTCGAGTCCATGGTGAGTCTGGGCGGGGCCACGAGCAGGGCGTGTTTTTGACTGGGGACTTGGCGGCTTCTTGACAACCGGTACAAGTGCGAACCAATTTTTCCAAGTCTTCGTTGATCCTCGTCCAGATTACGTAGCTGCGGGCTAGGGATTTCATTCTGTTAATCCCTGGATGTCCTTCGTGAAGCATTTTCAGGGTCTGTGGCTGAAGGGACCTGGGAATGATGAAACGGCTTCCGAAGAGTAGACATCCTTGCTGAGTCGACAGATCGTTTCGCAAGTGAGCATAACTAGCGATTGCCGATGATGGCTTCTTTGGCCAATTGTTGTGGGCGATGAGGTCGAGTACTTGTCGTAGAGTGTCGTCTTCAGCTGTAGCGCGTGCAACATCTTTGGCTGCGACCGGTAAGCGCTTGACGTTTTCGTGAAAGATGGCGTTTATGCCGCGAGCGATTTTCGCTATTATAACATCTTCTTCCGGTGGTGATTGAGTGGCGATGAGACGGGAGAGTGCGTCTGCTTGTGAAGTTGTTCATGTTCCGGTATTCTATGTCGAAATTATAATCAAGCAGTGTGAGTCTCCAGCGCTGTAGACGGTTTGCGGAGTAGGCAGGTATCCCTTTCTTAGATCCGAATATGGCTAAGAGTGGTTTGTGGTCTGTGAGGAGGATGAAGGGCGTCCGTAGATGTATCGATGAAATTTTCGAACCGCATAAACGAGTGCAAGGCCTTCCTTTTCTATTTGTCCGTAGTTCTTCTCTGCATCGGTAAGCGAACGTCTAGCATGGTAAACAGCTTTCTCTGTTCCATCTGGATAGCGGTGAGAAATGACAGCTCCAATTCCGTAGTCTGATGCATCGGCTGCGACGATGATGGGTAGCTGCGGATCATAATGGGTCACTAGACGAGACAAAAGTGAACGCGACCATACTCATGAGAGTTTAAAGGCAATGTGTTCATGTGATCATGATGTACTATCACTCTTGCAATAAACACAAATATACTGTAGTTCATTTTAAGAGGAAGGTATAGTGCATTCGGCCTGCCCCAACACTTTCTATGCAGCAACGCAGTCTTGCTAGTTTTCTGCGACGTGGGCACATTGCATTTCGACGGGTACCGCGTGAAGAGCCTAGCCAGAGTTCTGAATACAAATGGTGGAAGACTCTTCATATGTTCTGGTTTGATCCTATCGGGAGCGGGCGCCGCGCAATTCTTCATCGACGTGATGGCATGTCGTATTTCGGAAGGGAGAACCGAAAGAGCGATATATTTGTTTTTCCTAAGATGGTGGGTAGGCAAGTAGATGTGGCTGTCGAAAAGATCCGAGTAGTAGTCGTAGATGACCCTCTCCATTGCCCTTCGAGATGCAGTAACTGTTCCATCAGGACGACGAAGGGAAGTCACCTTAGTCTTGTTGTTGGCGAAGCTCCGTTGGGCTTTGCGAGTGCTCTTACTGGCCTCAGCGGCTTCGTCCATAACTGCTGCTCTTCTCTCTTTCAGAACTTCCTTTATCGCTTCTCTGCATAGCTTCGCAAGTTCGGGCGTTTGTTGGTGAATGCCTGTAGCTCACGCGGTTCCACGCTGGCGTATCGGCTTGAGAGTCTTCGGAGAGAGTCGTCTCTTGGCTACTTGTAGACTCTCTGCTTCTCTACTTTCTTAGCGCTATCGTGAAGATGTTCGGCGAGCCTGTTGTACTCTTCATCGATGTTGTCGATAACGGAATCTTCCCACTCACTCGCAATGGAAGCGAAGTGGTCCCAGTCGATAGAGTGTTGGGGCTTCGTTTCCTGAACTTTATAGCTCTCTCTCCTCGCACTGAGAAGCGGTATCTAGCGCGGAGGCGATGGTCCGATCCCGTGTAGAACTTCGGAACAACAGCGACATCAGGCAAAATCTCCCATCAGGGATTGAAGATGATGTGGTCTATTTCATTTCATTATGGAACTGTCCGGTGACTCCCATGTCCATCGTAAATGAGAGTGCTTGTGGAATTGAGAGTTACTATGGCTGGTGTGGATCGACATTGTAAACTCCGATAGCCTTTCACCCTGCTCATTCCATTCCACTCGGTGAGTCCAGATGTGGAGCTCTTTAGCCGTTCTTTTGGGGCCAATCTTGCCGTTAAAATCACCGACGATGATCTTAAAGAAAGTGTGATCTTCTCTATAGAGCCTCTCCAGATCCATATAAACTCCAACTCCAACTCTTCGTCTTGGTAGCTTGATGTTGGTGCGTAGGCAACGAAAATGGTTAGAGTTGGGGTTAAGCCACATCTTATTAATCGCAAACGTCCGATTCGGGTTGTTAAGCTTTCGTACGAATCGATATTCATGGCCGAGTGCACATTGATGAGGACACCTACGCCACCAACGCCTCTGCTGTCGCATTTTCCAAGGAACAGTTCTTCTCCAGTCTCAAATACAGCGTACAGCGAGCGATACCTTCTCGTCTCGGCCAGTCCGATGGCGTTGATCTTCCTAGCCTGCATCATCAGACCTTCTATACACGTTTCCGATGCAAGCGTTGGTGCGTTAAAAGTATAGATGGCCATCTCAGAACTTCTCCTTTTGGGCAGCCTGTTTTGGCCCTGAGATTTTAGCAGCATCTCCCGAGATTTTAGCAGCCTATTGACTCCGGGGCTTGCCAGGCTATGCCGAAGTGGACAAGGGGCTTTGTTTTTGGAGGCGGTCCCGAATCCCTCTAGATACTTCCAGTCACTCGAATGCAAGCTTTTGGCCGAGTCGATGGGCAGGATTCCAACTGCACCCACAGACTCTCCACACACGTATGCATGGATCGCCTGCGAGGAACAGAGGGTATATCGACCCAGCACAGCAGAATCAAGGAGTCCATCCCCCTGAATCCACCAGCGTCTCTGGGCAAGTACGGTGACTTTTGGCCGGCGATTAATTCCCCTATCCGCCACCTGGGGACGCCCTACGTAGCCTCGTCACTAACCGGCTGGGGATCCTTCAGTGAGAGTTATAGATGGTAGGATTGTTTAATCTTTACTCCGTAATCACCGAAGTTTTGAAGCCTGTTAACCAACCCCCATGAGTTGTGGTCACCCTTTCCCCGATTATATTTTCACCGCAATGCCTATATTCCAAAGCACCACGAGAGTTCATTTATGTATTACTACGGAATTTATCGTACTATACCCAGTTAAGCCATGCATTCGCCTCTCCACACACTCAGCGCAAGTACCCAGTCCGCAGTTCTCAATCATGCCTTCCGCTTTAACCATTAGATGGAGAATGCCGTGATTCTTTCTACTCCCGCAAACCTATGCCGACGAGGATGATTATCATTCATCCATTTTTGCGAGATGAAGCTCGAAGGCTTGGACAATCAAATCTAGGACAGTGAAACGTCTCAAATCACTTTTTATCGGTGAATTTCAAACCACTTGTTATCGGGGTGGAACATTGAGAGAGTGAGGGAATCGGTTGTGTGTTGATTTGAGTAAGCACATGAGTGCTTTCCCACCCGTTGTCACACTAATACATATATATGTGAGAAAAGGAATTCATGTGCATGATTTTTACCAAAAAGCTCTCGTTTTGAAAAAAAAGAACTAATTTAATCCCAGCCACCCTTTTCGGCACAGGAATGTTTTCTTGCTGGCATGCAAGTAGGTGAAAATGCAGAAGTAACAAAATATTACTGTTTTACCTTTCTAACAGCATGCTTTTCCGAGATTCTTACAGTAAGTGAAGAATAACGTGCTCCAGAGTAAAGGCCGCGTACACATTGTTGGCGGCAAGAATCTCGTTTTGAATTTGTCTCGCCGGAGAGATGATTACCTTCGAGAATCATTCAACTGCGGTTGTATGTATGTACCAGTTACTTATCGCTTGTGTCCCACTTATTTCTTAACTATTTATTGGCTGCTGGCCCAGCACCCAGTCGCTTTTGTTGTTGCAGTTTGATTTATCTCGATGTTATCTCGTATTAAATTGCCAAATTTATTGAGAAAACAATGCTTACCTGTTCAAGTACAATATTTGTGACCGGGATGTATGAGATATTTTCTGGAGATGACAAGGATTTTTTGGATTTTCTCGGGCGATAAAAGTCTCTGTCTTTTTTGATCACCATTAATTACCTTTCCAAAAAGTTATCATGTTGGGATTTCTTTGGTTCGTTATTTATTTCTTGTTTTTTGTTTCTTTTTTAGTTTGGTAGCACATTAAGGTACTGGTATGTGTCTAGTAAACCAAAGAGGCTTGACCATGCTTCCAAAAGAGATGCGAATGTCACTTCAGGCATCTGTCAATCTCTGTAGACTTTCTTTTCTCATTCTCCTTTCCAGCGTTTCGAAAGGTCCGCTGTCCTTGTGAGTTGTCTCCACTTCCATCTATCTACGGCGGCAGCGGTAGCTACTTTTGTTTCGTTAGGTCCATTCCCATCACGTCTCGTTATCTCTCGTTTTAAGCTTCTTTGAAGAAGTCGCCTGGTTTGAGCATTGAGCTTTATTGCTTTCCTAATTGTACAATACTAGGGCCTCCATGTTACCTAACACCCCATTGTAAACGCTGCCCTCTCCTTTTCAGCTAGACAGGCTCTGCTGGCCAACCGATGAACGAGTCAGTGGTGTTATCCTTCCAGAACAGTATCGTACCACTTAATCGACCCTGGGAGAAAGACTGGAAGGCTTCGTTGACCTAGGCGGATATCAATCCGGGGTTCGAAGCCTTGCTCATGCGTGTGAGATCACATCACTTGCCACTACACCACCCGCCCCACTTCTCAGTACTTCAAAACGACAGAATTTACAGATGTAAAAAGGCAAAGCGTCGGTCGTATTAAAGACGAAATCAAAAAAAAAAAACTGAAGCTTGGTGCTCGAAAGGTGAAGTATGTGTTGAACTGTGCACTTAACCTTTCTTGCAGGGAACCAAGAAACACAGCTGCTTACTGAAAACAGTGATCGTCGATGAAATCGCTCCAACTGTTGTAGAGGCACCCGTAGTGATAGAGTTAATATCCTTGAGCACATTGGCGTCTGGATTGCGCTGAAACGCTTTCAAAAAGACGTCCTACGCCAAGCAATGCTTATATTAACTTCGATGTTCAGCTGTAAATAGCTCACTCGTGACAAACCCATTTGTGAATCGGGGGAGATATTCGGATGAAGGGATGAAGCTTAGGACAAGGGTTGGGTTCTACTCCAACGATTAAGAACCTTTCTTATTTGTAAAAGCGCGAGTCAGGGAACGGTTGCAATTTCATTTTAACATTTCCTCATGAACGGAAGAACGGGCTTACTCGAGCCTCGGCTCTGAATGTTGGTGGAGTACGATCCCAAGTGCTTACGAAGTGACGGAAGTGACTTTCTGAGAGAGATTTCAGTATGAAATTTGATGTTTCTGGGAGTTCCTCTGTAGATCAGACAAGCTATATTTATTTGGGCCCAGGATTACCCGAAGCCCTACAATTAGGTAAAGTCTCCTGAAAGAAAATAGTAAGAAGCAGTTGTTAGAATAAGGTACACTTCGTTTCACCTTGTTTCCACAACTTATGGTCTGGGAAAGATGGAATGATGATAAGAGGAACATGAAACTATCGCAGGTGCACAACTCCGAAACTCTCGTTCCTAGAGCTTTAGGAGAAGATGGGAAAGTTGTCTTGTCGAAAGACATCGGAATGCCAAGTTGAGGTTAACCAACAGCATGGGAGTACACCCCACAATGTATCACGAGATTACTCCCATGTCCATCTTAAATGAGAGGGCTTCTGGAACTGCGAGTTACCATGGATGGTGTAGGTCGTCATGGTAAACTCGGAAAGCCTTTCACCCTACTCATTCCATTCCACTCCGTGAGTCCCGATGTGAAGCTCTTCAGCCGTTCTTCTGGGGCCAATCTTGGCGTTGAAATCACCGACGATGACCTTGAAGAAAGTGTGGACTTCTCTGTAGAGCCTCTCCAGATCCATACATATAAAACGCTTCCAACTCCTCTTCTTCGTAGCTCGATGTTGGTGCGTAAGCAACGAAGATGGTTAGAGCTGGGGTTGAGCCGCATCTTCTCAATCGCAAACGTCCGATTCGGGTTGTTAAGCTTTCGTACGAATCGATGTTCATGGCCAAGTGCGTATTGACGAGGACACCTACGCCGCCGACGCCTCTACTGTCGCATGTTCCAAGTAACAGTTCTTCTCCATTCTCAAACACAGCGTGCAGCGGGCGATGCCTTCTCGTCTCGGTCAGTCCGATGACGTCGTACTTGTTCACCCTAGCTTGCATCATCAGGTCTCCTATACGCGCTTCCGATGCAAGCGTCCGTGCGTTGTAAGTACAGATCGCCATCTTAATCCTTCTCCTTTTGGGCAGCCTATTTGAGCATTGAGATTTTTGCAGCCTCTCCCGAGCGATCCTACCCAACGCTGTCGTATTGGGGGCTCCTTCAGGTTCAGGGGAATGAGGCCCATTTGTATTACTGTTGTTGGCGTGTAAATACACAGCGTGCAGCTTGCCATGCTCTGACGTGGGGGCTGGGTTGACCCCGGGGACTTGCTAGGCTATCCCGATGTGGACGAGCAGCTTTGTTTTTGCAGGCGGCCCCGAATCCCTCTAGATACTCCCAGTCATTCGAATGCAAGCTTTTGGCCGAGTCGATGGGCAGTATTCCAACTGCACCCACAGACTCTCCACACACGTATGCATGGATCGCCTGCGAGGAACAGAGGGTATATCGACCCAGCACAGCAGAATCAAGGAGTCCATCCCCTGAATCCACTTGTGTCGCTGAGCAAGTACCGGTGACTTTTTGTCGGCGATTAATTCTCCTATCCGCCATCTGGGGACGATCTACTTAGCCTCATCGCTAACCGGCTGGGGATCCTCCAGTGAGAGAACTCACAGTGAAGGAAATCCGTAGGTTCTCTAGTTGGTATAAACAATTATCTCCCTGCTTCACAGATATGCAGTAGAGCTCAAAAGTCGTCGGTCAAATGCTCTTACGCTTTGTCGTTCATTACTTTTTTTCTCAGTGGACTCAATCGCGCAAAATTTTGATGTATTTATCTATAAGACACGACTTTTGAGAGCTACTGTAAGTCGATTCACATGCCCGACATTCAGGCTGGAAGATAATGCGGTGCGCAATCACCCCTCTTTCAGAAAAGACCTATGGTACAATCCTTTGTCAAGTACCGTTCATAGTTTCGATTCGACTGTGGGTGTTGTTTTTGGGGATACTCACTAATTGGACAACATTTAACAGATCAGCTCAAAAGTGTTTTGATCTATCGCAAAACTAACTTTATCGGAGATAAAAGGAAGACGTAGGGGTGGTTTCTTGATTTTTTTTGCGACCTCATTGCTTCCTTCCAAGGCGTCCCAGTCTCGTAGTAGGCGATTCTGTCATTTTTGGAGAGGTCTTCCATAACATTAGTAAATACTTGTTGGATATGTTGACATTCATCTCGAGTTGCGTTTACGCCCAAAAATGGCCATCGCGTCAAAACGATTGGCCGTTGAATTGATGAATATGTAGCGAGGGTTCGACAACCTAAAGAAAAGAGGAACTGTAAGATTTTATTTCAAACGACTTTTTTTGGGCCTGAGATTAACGTACGATATTAATGTTCGCGTCTAAC